CCGCGCCGCGGGCCTTTGCAAGCAGTTGTGCTCTCTCCACCACACGACTTGGGTCAATTCCCGCCTTGGTTAACTTTTCCGTCATTTCACTGAGAGTGACCAGTCCCACCGTACGTGGTAAGATGGGTCGGTTCTTCAACTTTTTCTTTTGCTGAGACACCATCTTGTGGGCGCGCGCAACTCGCATTTCTTCCGCCTCTCGCTCATCCTCTGAGTCGGTCTATTTTTTTGTGAGCAGGGAATCAAGCTTCTATATCACCGCTTACCATGCTATTGTCGCTGTCATAAAACCCTTCAGCTTCCAGCTTTTCTTCCTCACGTTCCAGTGCCTCCAATTTGGCGGCGATGTCAGGGTCAATAAAGTCGGCGACATTCTTGCCATCCATGATCTCCGGGATGGCATCTTCTTTCCAGCTGGGATCAGATAATATCCAGTTTTCTGGTTGTCACTGAGAATACTGTGCCATATACCAATGTAATTCACTTACTCCTCATATCAATACTATAGACACCTGGACCACCTTCCTCTGCCTCAATGTCCTTTTCCAGCTTTGGTCGTAAGGGGTCATTGGGATCATACTTGCGCCGGTTGAGGACGGCCTCAGGAATGAAAGGCTCTCTCTTGATATCGTCCCTTGGTTTTGGCATGGCGACATGAATCCTGTTAGCCACTTGATTTAGCTTGTTTCCTTTCAGTTTAGCCTCCACCCGTTGAGCAAGGAGTGCCTCGCAAGCAGTATTTCGGACGTTCATCACACCTTCTTCTGTGTGGCAGGAGGCTTGCACAACCTTGATATTATCACCATTGATAATTTGGTCAACCAAGGCTCTTGATTCGGCTGGTAGTTGCTCAAGTCTCATGACATCGATCTTGTTGATGACAAGAAGTGTCGGCTTGTTGGCAAAGAGTGGCTTGATCGAGTGGAATAGCTTGCACTGGTATATGTTAGGCAAATAATAGGTAGTTTGGTTCTTGTGAACTCACTTGTGCCTCTACTGTGTATCCACATTGTTCACTAAGATCCATAAAATAAAGCACAGCGCATCTCAAGTGTGCCAGAGCTGTGATACTTTGCATCTCTATGGTGTTCATTTCCTCTAATGGGTGGTCCAATACACCCGGGGTATCAATGACCTGCCATCGCAAGTACTTATAATCCAGGTGTCCAACGAATAAGGATTTGGTGGTGAAGGCATAGGGTTGAACATCCACATCTGCTCTAGTGACTTTGTTGACAAACGACGACTTTCCTACGTTTGGATAGCCGCAAACCAATAGGGTACGAGTGTTGGGATCAATGGTCGGTAAACGGGAGATATGCTGTCGAACTTGTTCCAAATAGGCCAGTGGATCCTTTTGACGCTTCATTACAGTGGCCATTCTGCTTTAGGTTCAGCAAATCACATCCAAAAGGGATATCATGCCACTCACCGACCAAGGGCAGCCTTTTTGAGCTGCTTACATCTGTATAGACTGTCACCAAACTTCAAGAGGCGTACATAATCCTTTGCGATTTGATCTATCAAGTGTCGCGCTGTATTCAGTTGTCCCAAGGCGAGTTTGTAATGGTTTTTGTCGTACAGAACATTTAGTAGCGACGAAAGGAAAGGATGGAGGTTCTGACGAAGTGTTAAAATAGCGGAATTTGAAACGATATAAGGCATGACCATACGTCGAGAATAGGGAAATCGCTTAATATCGCTCCTAGCTTTTCATCGAATGAGTCTTGGGTGAATTTCACTTTACGCATGTAGAAGTTCCTAATCCTACTGATCTTGAAATTCTTATGAATTACCTGTTGAAGGGGTTCTTTATGAGCGCTCCAGGAACCTTTTTCAGGCATTGCCATTGACAGTGGCTTACCGTTGGCGTCTTGCGTTGAGTCTTGGAAAGAACGATATCAAGGAAATCATTGGCGCTCGGAACCGGAGCGATAGGTTTTAGGCTTTTAGAGGCCATTGGCAATATATGATAAAGAGCGTCGAGA